ATTATTATTATTTTGTCATGTCTTACATGATCCATCATCTCTCTTCACCCACTTTTCTGTTGTTCATCGCCCAGGGAGAAGGTTTTATGTAGATTCTTGTCATCAGTTCCCCCTTTCCACCCAACCCTCCTTCCACCCTCCCAGTATCACCACTCTCACTACTGGTCCTGAAGGGATCATCTGTCCTGGATTCCCTGTGTTTCCAGTTCCCATCTGCACCAGTGTACATCCTCTGATCTAGCCAGATGTGTAAGGTAGAATTGGGATCATGATATTGGGGGGGAAGGAAGCATTAAAGAGCTAGAGGAAAGTTGTATGTTTTATTGTTACTACACTGCACCCTGCCTGGCTTGTCTCCTCCCTGTGACCCTTCTGTAAGGGGCTGTCCAGTTGCCTGAAAATGGGTCTTGGTTCCCCAATCTGCACTCCCCCTCATTCACAGTGATTTGATTTTTTGTTCTTTGATGCCTAATACCTGATCCCTCGGCACCTCATGATCAGACAGGCTGTTGTGTTTCTTCCATGTGGCTTTGTTGCTTCTGAGCTAGATGGTCGCCTGTTTACCTTCAAGTCTTAAGACCCCAGATGCTATGTCTTTTGATAGATGTGCACTATCAGCTTTCTTCACCACATTTGCTTATGCACCCATTTGTTTTCAGCGGTTGTGTCGGGAAGGTGAGCATCATGGGATGCCAGTTTTTTAAGTGATGGTGAAAATACACGCAGCAATGCAAACATCAGCCAACCAGTTTCTGCTTGTGTACTTCAGTGGCATTGATTACATTCTTCATGTTGTGAAACCATTCTTATTATCCTTTTCCAAATTATTTATGAATTGTAACATAAACTCAGTGCCTTCTAAGCAAATATTCCCTCCTCCTTCCTCTGCTACCCAGGTAACCAGTATTTTGTGCTTTTTAGTTTCTATGTATTTGCCTCTGATGTGAGTGAGATCAGACAGTGTTTGTTCTTTTGTGACTTGTTTTACTCAGCGTGTTTTCAGGTTTCATCCATGTCGCGGCATCCATCAAATCTTCATTTCTCCTTACGGTAGAGTCCCGTCCTGTTACATGTCCATAGCACGTTTTGTTGATCAATTCATGCATTTACAGGCACTTGGGTTGCTCCTACCTTTTGGCTCTTGTGAAAAGTCCTGCCACAGATGTGCGGACATTGGTTCCCATCCCTGGTTCCCTTTCTCTGAGCCTATGCCTAGAATTGGGATTGCTGGGTCTCATGGAAGTTCTATTCACAACTCTTGCAAGGACCTTCCGACTTTTTTCACCTTTGCAATAAATACCCTCATTTATACATGGAGGCAAAAAAAAAAAAAGAAAGAAAAAGAGGATACATTAAACAGCTATGATGAAAACAGAGAGAGAAAAAAAGGGACAATTATTTTCTAGAAGAAAAAAGACCTCAAATTCAAATCCATCTTACAGAGATTCAATTCCTTCAATGGGATAAAGTTGAGACAAAGAAAAATATCTCCTAGACCAGAGTGGTGCCCAAAGGATTTGTAGCCTTGTCACTTTATATAAGAGGAAATAAAGGTCACTAAATCATTATTGGTTACAAATGATTTCATCAGAGTCACCAACAGGACCGTGGAAGCAAGATAACAACTATAATTAGGTTGTGCACCTTCTTCAAAATTGGAAATGTTTACAGGATGGGTTCTGGGGCCCTTTGGTCCAGGGGCATGACCATTACCCCCTTGTACCCCAATTTCCATTAAGGGCATACCCTGGAAGGTTCCTGTGAAAGAGATTGTCCCTTCCAGGGCTGCCTAGAGGAGGCATAATAATCTACTTTCAAACACATTTAGCCTGAGGGCAAAGGTTGTTACATTGTCAGATTAAAAACCAGATAGTACTGTATAGACACTGAATTTATGTTAAGACTCAAAATGGAGCGGGCTCCCACAGACTAGCGTTTTGCACACCAAGTGCTTAGAATTTAAACTTGAATACAAAGATACACACACTGACCTTGGAATTGTGCTGTTCTTGAACACAGATGTGGACAAAAAGAGCAAAAATGGAGTAAAAAGCTCACGGCCATCGAGTCAGTGCTGACTCGTAGCACTCTCCCTGTGGGTTTCCGGGATTGTTGACTGTTGACAGGAGTAGAAAGCCCCCATCTTTCTCCCGCCCGGCTGCTGGTGGGAGGGCTGTTATCTGAGCCTGGAATTGGTATGTTTCTTGGGACAAGGTTTATGCAGTTTGTGTAGTCACATGGTTTATACGAGCTCTTTTCTGGCCCTGTTTTCAGTGGCCCCTGTGTCAGGGGCCAAATTGGAGGAGTGAGAAATTCCAAAATGGAGTCAGTAGCAAGTGTCTGGAATACACAGCAGGATTGGTTGGGTATGCGCACAACTCCTTTAATTCAGCTTTTGAAAACTGCATCTTCTAATTTCAACTACAAACTCAGGAAATCACACAGCGAGGCAGGATGGGGGTGGGAAAAAGTGAGTACTCTCACAACATGTTAAGATATTTCTACTGTCACTTTGTCCAGGGATTTCTATTTATTCACTTAGCAAAATGACGGATTGGAGCCAAGCACTGTGCTAAGTCCAGGGACAGATGAGGCCTGAATCCTTATAACAAAAACGAATGTAATAGTGAGAGAAGTTTTCTTGCTTTAACTCACCAGCTGATGACTGATGTGCTGTAGCCTGTACTGTCATGACAGGCAAAATAAGTATGACTTGACTTTTCAGCCCTGATTTAAATACAGAACACACACACACCACCTCTTCAAATTGACTTTGGATTGGAGAGAAATATGTGGATTTGAGGAAAATCAAAATTAAAGGCTCTTATTGTCCTAATACTGAATATGTTATTTACATTTTAGACACCTATAAGGGGACTTTGAAGAGTTTGGGCAAATTCATACTAGCATTTATTTCAATTTTTCTACAAATGTTTTGAAACTTTCATATATATAGATGTATATACACATATATATACATACACATTCTGTTTTTAAATGATGACAAATATTTTTTAGGTCTTAATTACTTAGTGAATAGCTTTGTATAAAAAAAAACACTGCATTTTTCTAGTGAGTTAACTGCATTGTTCTGACTATTAAAATTAACATTCAAAGTACCATAGTATTTTATTCTGTGACAGTGGTTACATGTTGGGCTGCTAACTGCCAACTCAGACATTTGAAATCTGTGGGTTCTACACTGGAGAAAGAGAGGGCTTTCTGAGCTGGGTGGCAGAGGGCATTTATAGAGGTCTAGATAAAGTCATGTACATATGCAAATATATTTATATGAGGATGGGGAAATAGATCTATGTGCCTATATTTATAAGTTTAGTATTAAGGTAGCAGAAGGACATTGGGCCTCCACTCAAGTACTCCCTCAATGCAAGAATACTTTCTTCTATTAAATTGGTATTC